GAAATATGACATGGAAATAGAACATTGAAAATCACCAATTTGTCAGATTCTAAATATCCAAGTTGTTGTAGACCTGTGGGTGCCCTGAAATCCCGACAGTCAATTTTTCTGTGAGATCTGCTCCCTCAAATCCTGAACACCTCAAAGCCATTCTCCTAAGAAGTACATAGACCTAAGGTGATATTTTTAATTAGCTGTGTTGTGACCATCTGAAAAGGACCAGAAGGATCTAGTTGGTTGGCAGGAAAGATTTTGAAAACAAGAAGTAAGATCTAATCATCTCATAAATCTAACTCAATTCCAGGAATTAATAGAGTGATAAGTCTTCAGACATAATTAGTATTTCATTAAACAAAATTTAATTTTATCTTCAAACAAATGAAACCTCTTTTCCTTGGGTGGGGACTAATGTATTGGGTAGTGTCAGCACCCATATTGGCTGAATATAAAATATGGGTTCAATCCAGGTGACTTACTTGCAGTGTATAATTGAAATACTTGTTAATTAAGCTAAATGTTGTATCTCATATGCAAAATAGCCCACGAGATATAAAGATGATCAGGCAGTATGCTCTTCCATAGTTGAAAATGGAGTGTGCACTGGAAATGGAGAAAATAAAGTCCTGAAGGCAGGGTGACTGTATGGCTGGGTGTGTGAGGGGAAATAGTGAAAGATAAAATGTAATAAGTAAATTGGAATCAGAGTTGGAAGGGTCTTGATTTCACTTCTTGGGACATGGAGTGATGGTGTTAAGGATGATTGTGGAATTTAACAAAGACATCCCAAAATGTCTGAGTCCTTTTTTTCCCCTAGTAATTTTTCTCTCCAGTGAGGCCCTCGGGGTAATATAAGTTCCTAATCTGTTAACATCCAGACCTATACCCTGAGTGTTCTATGTCACACTGCCTTTTTTTTAAATTTAATTTTATTTTTTTTTAAGACAGGATCTTACTAAATTGCTGAGACTAGCCTTGAATTTACAATCTTTCTGTCTCAGCCTCCCAAGCCACTGGGATTATAGACATGTCACCACTAGAACCTCACATTTGCTTTTGAGCATGCCTTTCATATGTAGATCAACAAATCCAGAGCTCATACCCCAAGACATCTCCTGTCTAACTCAAAAAACAAGCCAGTATTTCTCTTGCCCCAAACCACCCAGGGTCAGGTACTAGATACCAAGTATCACTTCTATAGTCCAAACCCCTCTAAAATTATTGACTGTCCAGTCCTAAAGCTATCTGTTCTGCTTCACTCATTCCTGGAGAATCAAACTACAATAAAGGCTCTGGGCTATACTTTCCCCCTCAATCCTGCCTCCTAGCCATCCCTGACACTTTACACATGGTCCTCCATGGTGTGGCATGGCCACCTTTCTTGGGAGTTGAGAAATAAACTCTTCCTCTGTACCTGTGCATCTTAAGATACCATCTCCAGCTTTAGAGCAGTGAGTGTGTCCCAAACTGTGGTGAAGGACTAATTTCTATTTTTTCCCTATTCTTCATAAACTGATACCATTATAAAATATAATAACAATGAATTTCTGGAAAAGTCATCACATTCTTAAATGTTATGACTATGTTAATTGCTATAAAAATTTCTAAACGTTTCTCTCAGTTTCTTTGCTTGTCTCTTTGCAAACCAGTAACAAGTCTTATACTAGCATTGATCTGTGAATCACACTTTGAATAGAATTGGTTCATGGGAATGACTCAATGACTCAATGGGGATGCCCAAACAAGAGAGGAGTAGTAAGGCAGAGGAAGCCCCCATCTCTTTACCAATCCAACAACATAGGAGAAAGCATAAGATTGGCCAGGCACATGCCCTTGTGACAGCGAGTCAGGCTTTACTCATAACAAGACCCAGCCACCATTCTGGAATCTACTAGTGTACCTCCTCCTCTCTGAAGCCAAGATGCTACAGAACAAAATAAATCAGGGTGATGAGATGTTCTTACCTGCAGCCTCTTTCCTAGAGGTCTTTGTATAGCCTATGGCATGTGTTTAACAGTAAATGACCTAACAATAATGATTTAGAGCCTAGGCAGGAAACTACTACATAATAAATGAAAAAATAAATAAATAAATAAATAAACACAAGTGAGAGAATGGAGCCATGATAAAAGTAGAATTCTCCAAAGAAAATGTACTGATCTGGGGATGGGGACTTAGTACGTTATAGGAAGAGGTAGAAACTGAAAGCCTTTTGAGTGTAGAACTAGAAATTGAGTTCTGTACAACACAAAGACAAGGACAGAAATGCTAAAAAGGGTCCCACAGCCTTTCCAATGTTATTATCAAGAGTATTATCAAAAAAGGTTTCTTTAAGCACTTACAGTATATGCACTATATTGGCACAGTGCATGCCCTTAACTTCTACAATGCAGTCTTTTTTTTTTTTTTCTCCCCACTGGTAATTGAACCCTGGGGTACTTTCTACTGAGTTACATCCCCAGCCCTTTTTATTTATTTATATATTTTTTTGTTTTGAGACAGGGTCTTTAAATTACCAAGGGTCTCAATAAGTTGCTGAGACTGGAGTTGGACTTTTGAGACTCTCCTGCCTCAGCCTCCTGGGTCATTGGGATTACAGGTGTGCCACCACACACCCAGCGAGGGCAGTTAAGGCCTAAAAACTCTTAAAATCCTACATAGTTTTAAGCTGTTGTGAAGCTCCTTCAAAGTCCTAATTGGACAAAACTAAGTATCTCAGGGTAGCAAGGAGAATTGTCTAATTTCAAGTTTCTTTCTCTTAGGGCAGTGGTCTTCAAAATGGGCTTATATCCTCTTGTGGCACTTGAAGACTTTCCAAGCACAATTTTAAGGAACCCAATTTCCAGACCTTTAGCACACAACTACCTGAGATCAACCCTTTGGTTCAAAATCACACTGGTTCTCTTTTCCCACTTCCCTTTTCAGAAGTACTCTCCTCCTTACTCATCCCAAATTTTATGTGGTTCATTTCTCTGAGGTATAGAAGTCTTTGGGATGCCAAGTAAAAGGACAATTAAAAATATTACTGTCTATGAATTTTTCTTTAGGGACCTTAAATTCACCATAAGGCTGTCTGAATTTATCTGTATCTTATATTTTTGTTAAAAATAAAGCAGTTATGGGCTAGGATTGTGGCTCAGCGATAGAGCACTCCCCTAGCATGTCCAGGGCCCTGGGTTTGATCCTCAACCTCATAAAAATAAAAATAAAGGTACTGTGTCCAACTACAACTAAAAAAATAAATATTTAAAAAAATAAATAAAGCAGTTATAATCAAGGGTGTCGGGCTGTTGTAAATTCAGGATAGGATGACTGTCACTGGGATACATTTATTTAAAATGAAAAAATGAGGTCATGCTTTTTCAAAATGAAAATAAGTCTAATCTAGCCTGTTACTTTGACATTGAGGGCTAGCGTTATCAATTAAATCATGTGGTGAACACTCTCATAAATGAAATGAGCTAAATCTTTCAGTCTAAAGTTTTGATAAAATTTATATTTAAAGCATGTGATAAGATAGAATCATTTTATTGCAAAATGTGGCAAATGACATAAAGAAATTAACAGTGTTTTAATTATTCCAAACTTTTCAAGTGGGTTACAAAGGTGTCTTTAAGGAAAAGAGTAACTCATGTAATTATTAGTAAATAATAAATCCTTTTTGTAATACTTCTAACAATTAGGTAAAAAATCCTTTGGCAAGTTTGGTTTTCAGTTTTTTGCTTTCAACAAAATTAAAAGAAGACCTGATTTGTTAAGTGATAGATCATTATGATGAAATTTGCTGATAGTTTGCTACATTAATTTTTGCAAATAACTTTGAAAGAGTTTAAGAATTAAGTGATATTACTATAACAAAATTCTTCCTTTCCAAGATAATATTTGTATGAATAAGATTTCTCAGGATTTAAAATCTATTACTAGAAAAGAGGGGGAATTGATGGTGAGCCATGTGTCATTCTAATAATAAGTATTAAAACAAATAGTGAAGCCCCAGTTTTATGAAAATCCACAAAGCCAGACTCAGCAATTTAGTGAGGCCATAAACAACTTAGTGAAACCCTGTCTCAAAATAATAATAAATAAGTAAAAAGGGCTGGGGATGTAGCTCAGTGGTAAAGCACCCCTTTAATCAATCTCCAATTCCAAAAAATAAAAAATAAGAATAAACAATAAAAATTTTAAAAATGAATAAATTCATCTATCTCATTAAGAGATACATTTTAATGAAATTTTCTGTTTAAGCTAATTTATTATAAAATATGTAATATATTTGTGTAGCTTGATCAATTATATTCATGAGAATTATAATAACAATGCAGGAAATGTTATTTTTAAAGATTTTAAGGGTCACAAGAATTTTAAGTGATGGTTTTACTTGAAAAATGCGAATGTAGAAAATTATGTAATTTACAATTGTTTAACCTGGGAATTATATAATTTACAACTATTCAAATTTCTGATTAAAAAATGTTATATTGACTTTAAAATGAGGCAAGAGAGGGCATGCATAATATTCAACTAAACTAAAAGGCCCTGAAGACCACTGTAGAGTTGTACTCACGGAGGGAATAGTAAGTGGTATGGGCACTTTTCAAGTTCTGTGTGGCATTAGAGTTTAACCTGAGTAAGCGGAAGGGCACACTCACCCTCGTGAACCTTAGTGAACGTAAGAAGTACACACAGTGATGTGCTTCCCAATGGATCAGCCACCCAAAATGTGAGATAACAAGCCTCATAGCCATACATTAGTGAACAGCGAGTAGAGTTTCTAGATGGTTAGCTGGTCAGACAGAGTGTCTCAGAGGGTATGGAGGAGGGGAAGTAACAGTGGGTGATGGAGTTGTGGAAATACAGCATCCAACATTACTCTAGGGAACATTGCATTCTGATAAGAGAGCTGCCAGGGTGGGGCTTGGGCGGGCAGCACCACTGTCTTGGCTTATCCTGTAAGGGGTCCCAGCCCAACTCATGCTTCTCTTTCTTTTTTCTTCCCTCTTCAGTCACTGCTCAGCATCCCAGGCTCACCCTTCCTCTCCCGCTACAACAGCAAAAGTAGCATCTTCAGCTTCCGGGGTCCTGGGCGGTTCCGAGACCCAGGTTCGGAGAATGAGTTTGCAGATGACGAGCACAGCACCGTGGAGGAGAGCGAAGGCCGCAGGGACTCGCTGTTCATCCCCATCCGGGCCCGGGAGCGTCGCAGCAGCTACAGCGGCTACAGCGGCTACAGCCAGGGCAGCCGCTCCTCGCGCATCTTCCCCAGTCTGCGGCGCAGCGTGAAGCGCAACAGCACGGTGGACTGCAATGGCGTGGTGTCGCTCATCGGCGGGCCGGGCTCCCACATCGGCGGGCGGCTACTGCCAGAGGTGAAAATAGATAAGGCAGCTACCGATGACAGTGTAAGGAAGTACCCACAGTAGATGAGGCTAGGCATGGCAGTCTCTCGCTCCCTTCCCCTCTTCCCGCCCTGCCCTTGGCACGGGTCTCTCAATCCCACCCTTATTAATACCCGCTATTTTTTGTTCTCTCCCTCCTAGTTCTCTCTCTTCAGTCCTGCCTCTGTTACCCTGTTTTCTCCTTTCCTTTATTTTTTTCTCCATCTGCCCTCCAACTTTCTTCCTTGTTTCTGACTCCCTTTACCATCCTTTTATCTTACTTGTTTCTCTCCATTTTTGCAAGTCTGTCTGCCCATCTGTTCCCCTCCCCCACCTGCATTAACTGACTGCCCGATGGAATGGGAATGCCAGAGTGCCACCACCAATGACCAAGTCTGACAAGTCTGAGCCGGTTTGGAACCACCATTGCTTCTCCCGCACTCCAACTTCCTCTGTCCTCCTAGGGAAACAGCTTGAAATTTAAAAATCTTATTCTTTCTGTTTAAGAAAAAAAAAAAGTAATATAGTTTTGAATAATGTTTTATCTCCTGAGATGTGATTTTTTTCCAAAGAGGCATGTTCATGTGGGATGCTGGGGCCAGAGGTGTATACAAGGAGAAAAGCCAGGCAAGGAGAGGTTAAGACCAGTAGGAAACTGGACCTAGACTCTTAGAAGAAATTGAAATGGAAATAAGTCAAAGGAGGAAAAAGTGGGGGGTTGGGGCGAGAACACACAGTGTATGGGGGAGGAAGGAGAAGGGAATCAAAAGATGAATTTTAAATGTAATCAAATGTCAGGCTCTGGAGAAGTTGCATGTAATAGCTACACAAAGTCACTTGCCTGTGGGGTTCCAATAGTGACCCCCTCTTTGGAAAATCCATCTATTAACCTTACTTTAAATTCTAAGCTGTTTATACCTTTTATTTTTTTTTTTTAGTTGAAATTATTATGACCTTGGTGATCCTTATCCTTTCTACCTCTAATTCCTTAACTTTCCTTGATGCTTTCTTAGCTGGTATAAGCTCTTGATATAAGCTTCTATATTGTTCTAACTTCAGTGTCCTCTTACACAGCATGAAGATAGCCCTTTAATCAGCATGATGCATGTATGGAGGAAAACTGGATAATCATAGATGAAATCTTTCAGAGTGATTTGTCTTTTTAGCATGTTAGAGCAGTTATTGACTATACATAAAAATTCAAAAGGCAGTTTGGATGTGTTTGAGATTCACTCATCTCCCCCTGCCCTGTTATCTTAAAAGCAGAATATTTCCCCCTTATATTTATACTTTTTAAAAAGCTACAAATTACTTTTACATGCATTATTTAATTTCTTCTAAGCAAAAATTCTGTAAGACTAAGCTGGGCACGGTGATGCATGCCTATAATCCTAGCAGCTCCAGAGGTTGAGGCAAGAGGTTCGTGAGTTCAAAGTCAGCCTCAGCAAAAGCAAGGCACTAAGCAACTCAGTGAGACCCTGTCTCTAAATAAAATACAAAATCGACTGGGGATTGTAGCTCAGTGACCAAGTGCCCCTGAGTTCAATCCCTGGTACAAAAAAAAAAAAAAATCTATAAGACTGAAAGAGATTAAGATTACTTTTTTGTTGTTGTTAGTTTTCCGCAGACACAACATCTTTGTTTGTATGTGGTACTGAGGATCGAACCTGGGCCACAYGCATGCCAGGCGAGTGCGCTATCGCTTGAGCCACATCCCCAGCCCTAGATTACTATTTTTAAAATGAGAAACAGGTTCAGAGAATTTGTGTTCCTTTAGGTTATACAACTCATCAGTGATAGATCCAAAATCTTAGACCCTTTAGAAACCCCAATCTGCTGTTTCCCAATTAATTTTAATGTCTTCTCTGTATAGTCACTGGCTATCACTCTTCTGGAGATTTGTTTATTTAAGATCAACTACAATGGGAATAGCAGTAGTAGTAGTGACTGCAGAGTTCTCCCTAAAACCAGAGTGTTGGCAAAAATAACTGTTATAGATGATTATATTTACATTTAATTTTTATTTGATTTTCACTAATTCTGTATCTAGTTGAATATTTGGGGCTCCACAATTATAAAGATAATTCTATTCTCTGAAAAAAGCAAGAGCTGACATCATTGGAGAGTGAGGGGTAGTTCRGCATGGCAGTACAGTGGAGATAGTTCAAATATTTAGAGCTAAATTTGACTTTAATGTCCTAGCAGTTTTAATCTAACATTTTAGCCCAAATAATAAAACTTATACAACTAGATACAGAGTTAGTGAAAATTAAATAAAAATAAATGTAAATATAATCATCTATAACACATAATCATCTATAACATTTGTTTTTGCCAACTCTCTGGTTTTAGGGGGAACTCTGCAGTCACTACTACTGCTAATTCCATTGTTGTTGATCTTAAATAAACAAATCTCCAAATAAATCTGTTCTTTTTTTTTTTTTTTGATGAAGAGATGAGAGAAGGTATCTAGAAAGGATCTTCAAAGTCAGGTGATCAGGTTTGGGGTTTTTGTTTTGTGACTTCTGTCACACTGGTGGCTATGGAATATAAGACCACCCTACATTGTGGCCTACAGAACTATGCCTTTGCGTTTGTGGGACGCGTACATACTCTGCACCCCATATGCACTTAGGAGATTTTCTGCAGTGGTCCCAAGTGATGATGGTGACAGGACTGGTCCAGGACCAGGAGACGAGACCTCAAAGTGGCAGAAAGGTGTAGTAGGCAAGAACATATCATTCCCAAGAGTTTCATAACTAGGAAAAACTCTTTTATTAGAAGTCATAAAGAAGCTGTTATGGCTAGTCATAAATGTAGGGAAATGTCTTTTATGCTAATGGGCCAAAAAGAACAAAACAAGCAAAAGAGGATACCTAGTCTATGTAGTATGAGATCAAATCCATATAAAGACAAAATACATAGGAAAAAAAAAATGACTAAAAGTTAGCAGTAGTTGCCCTTGAAAGGAAAAATTACTAGTAACCTTTTTTTTTCTTATGCTTTTTTTTCCAGTTTTCTACAGTGGGCTTAATAACTATAGCTATCCCATGCTGAGTTCTTACTACAGTGTGCTAAGCACTTTGTATATATGATTTTATTTAACTCATATAACCACCCTACTCAGTAATAAATGTCCTCCTCAGAGATTTAGTAACTTTAGTTAAGTTTTCATTTGAACCAAGATTTTCCTAATGGCAAAAAGATCTTTCTGACAGCTTAAATATTAGCTCCTTTGAAAAGTAGGGTAAATAGTCATTTTCTTAGAAGGATATACTATATTAACACTTTTATGKTAATATTGTAAATTTTAATTATAGATCAATGGTGAAGTACCTCTGGATTCAGTCCCCACTACCAAAAACAAACAAAAAAGCTTTCAGGTCTTTATTAATTATGTGACTATGATTGAATAGTGATGATTTTTTTCAGAATTTGGGAATGTTTACTTTTGCTTTCTGCTAAAGCAGCAAATAAGGGAACTTTTTCCTGTTTCTCAATCTTTGGTTTGAGAAAACAGGACTCATAAAGAGAGCAGGTTCTGTCAGCAATCCAGAAACCACACATAACTCAGATATCTTATTGAGGCAGATGTGCTAGTACAATGCTCACAGCCCCACCTCCTGTGAGACAGGTACTGCTATTGTCTGCACTTTTGAGACGGTATCCTAGGCTTAGAGGGAAAAAGTAACTTATCCAAGATTGCACAGTGAGCAATAAAGTTAGAATTTGAATCCAGGCATTCTAACCAGAGATTTAACCATTAACTATTACACAGTACTAACTCTAAAGCCCAGTTTCTTCTTTTGCTCCATTTGTTCATATGTTCCTTGGAAAGTGATATCTCTAAATCCATTTTCTTTTCTGTTAAAAAAAAAAAGTGGGGGAGGGATCAAAGGACATTTGCTGTAGAACTGTTGTGAAGTCTAAATAGAACATACAAATATGTGAAGTGTATTTTGTAGCCCATTCTTGTAGCCTTTCGTTTCTTTATACTTTTATTATACTTTTGGACTTTTTTGTCCTGAGAATTTGAGGGTGAAATTTCTATAGAATTGCTTGACTTGGAGAGAGTAGAGCTTCTTCTAGTATTCTAAAGATCCTTTGAGAAAGAAATTGTTGTATAATTATTGAAAAGCCGAATGCTATAAAGATTTTAGAAAGGCTTGAAAGGGATTAATGGCTAGATTCTAAGGACATGTCTAAAATCCTGTCGATTTTAGTTCCAAGAAAAATGATTGATAAATTTCTAGTTATGTATTTCTACGTGATAGCAATTTAGAATTAATAAGTTGAGCTTCCTTGGGCAGATCTATGGAAAAGTGGGTAGAATCTGCTGTCTGGACTGCTGCAGTTTAGGAAGCTGGAAGCCAGTAGCCAAATGCTCTGATAAACTTTGAATTTAGATTAAGAGAAACTGACTAATTTGTTTGTTTGTTTATTGGTGCTGGGAATTGAACACAGAGGGACTCTACCACTGAGCTACATTTTACATTTTTTATTTTGAGACAAAGTCTTGCCAAGTTGTCCAAGTTGGCTTCAAACTTGCAATCCTCCTGCCTTGGCCTCCTAAGTCGCTGGAAGTGCAGATGGGCACCACTGCACCTGGTTTTAGCTTTTAAAGAACTTAATTAAGGTTCTTAGTTACTTCCTCTGTTACTGATAGTTTTACTCCAAGGCTTCTTATAGGATGAATTAAGAAAAGACAGCTTCTGGCTTTAAATGGTTTTTAAATCTTCTCCATCCTCTCCAACAGCTCTCTCCCAGATGATAAAAATGGGTAGCTGAGCTCATAGCAGAGGTACGTCTCCCAAAATCCCCAGCAGAGGTCTACTGCACAACTGCTTTACTTGGGAGAGTCTACTCCAGGTTTCTTCCCTTCTGTTGACTCAGTGGTCTGCTGGAATATGCAAAGTCAGCATTGCCAATAAGAATGTAAAATTGTATAGCCACTTTGGAAAATAGTCTGGCAGTTCCTCAAAAAATTAAAC